CAGCTCAGAGGTCGGCAACGGCAGGTGGGGAACATTGGCTTCCTCCGTCACTGGAGCAAGCAAGCCTCCTGTTCGCTTCAGCTGCCTGGCTGCCGGCAGCCATCTTGGTTGGCAGTTAATTTGCATATCTCGCTGATTAGCCCATGGGAAGGGTAGCGAAGTTACGGTTAATTACCATGTTTCTCTATTATTAGATAGGATTCCATCCTTACAATAACCTATGGGGTAGAAGAACATAGTTTATATTTTGTTACTTTGGAGCTAAGGACCATGACTTAAAGAGTCTGGTGACTTTCTCATGTTTAGGTGTCTTATATTATAACACTGAACTCCTAAAGCAGGTATTCTGACTTCTTTATGCATATCCATGTTGCCTCGGTCCTCTGTGCTTACCTATTGCTGACTGAGAGAAGTGATTTCCAAGAGGTATAGAAACAAGAGAATAACTTTAAAATTATATATCAATTAATACTTTAATTATTGCCCAGTGTAGATCAATGCATTGTGACATTTTAGAGCTGAAGAGACTTAGAAATGATCTGGTCCAAACTTGTCCTCAGATTCCCAGGTCACTTAAATGCCTAGAGTCCGATTTTGGCCTCTGTGGCCAGTCTGTAAAGGTGTTGCACAGAAGCCTCTGTGTGGGATCTTTCCTACCTGTTTGTATGGTTTCCCTCTACCTTCACTTTTACTTGGAGAGAGATTCATGGCTTCAGGGCTTCTGCCTGCTCTTGGACATATCTCTGGCCTCCTTTCCACAGGGGCAGAGTTTCCTTGGATCACTGAGGTTCTACAAAGGTTTTATGTGGGCCAATGCCTAAGGAAGAGGCAAAGGAAGAGACCGAGGAAATGGGTCACCAATCCACCTGAAAGGAGCATATCTAAGAGAAGGCCAGCCAGACAGCCGGGCTAGTGCTGACAAAGGATGCCAAAGGGGCAGAAAGAGATTCATATTCATATTCACCTTTTACATGTTGAAAGATATATTTGTTTATTCATTATTTAGTTCTGCCATTTGCCTGGTGCTGTGTCAGGTAATGGGACTACTTCACTGAAGAAAAATAAAGAAACAAAACATACACACACTTCATGAAGTTTGCTATCTACTGAGGATTATTACAATAACTTATTTTCAATCTTCTACAGGATGAGTCACTAATTGGGTACTTGTCCAAATATAATTTTTGTTCTCTAAAAGACTACCTACTACATATGCTCTATCTGCCTAGCAGCAATACCCTTAATGGCCAACAAATAATATTAATCATGGATATCAATTATTAAGGGCCTGCCCCCAAGAGGTTATGTTTAGCTTTATGTATGGCAGGTCATCTAACTCATGAGTTTAAGAAATATACGTGTATTGATTATTGTTCTAGGAAATAAGGATAAAGTAGTGAAAAATCTCTGCTTCCATAAATCTTATGAGGAATAGACAATGAACCAACAAATAACGATATAGTAAGACAAATAATATTAGAGAAAACCCAATAAGACACAGAAGGAGTGTGTGTGTAGCAGGTTGCTATTTAACATAGGATTGTCAGGGCATGGCTCACTGAGATGGTGACATTTGGGAACAACTGAAAGAGATGAAAGGGAGAGCTACACAGATGTCTGGGGAGGAAGATTCTAGGCAAAATGAGCAGTGAATGCTAAGTTTCTGCAGCAGGAGGGAGCCTGGGTGAACTGTAGGGAGCCTTGTGACCCAGTAGGATGAGCCAGGGGAAAGTGTACAAAAAAAAAATGGGTGAAGGTGTCAAGGTTGTTTCTCAAACTTTGATGGACATTTCACTGGAGGCTCTTGGTAAAATGTAGACTTGAGACTCAGCTGGTGCTGCTGGTCTGCACACCATACCTTGAGTAGTAACGTGGCAAACAATTGCAGGGACTTTAGCTTCATCTGGAATGAGATGAGAAACCAGTGGGGAATTTTGAGCAGAGGGGCATGATCTGACATATTTTAAAGGGTCACATTGACTACTGCTTGGAAAAATAACTCTGGTGGAACAAACTTGAAAGCAGGGAAACTATTTATGATAGTCTCTGTAGAGATATAGCTCTCCGTAGCTACTATAGAATTTCATGCATCAGAATCAAGATTGTGTCAGCAATGGTTTGAATCCATGTTAGAACTAAAATCCCTACTTTGAAAGCATTTATACCCTGGGTCCCCTTTGCATTACTTCTTTGCCTCCTTATCTAACCAACTTCAATAGGCATATTTTTTCCACCAAGATAGTATGTAATTTACAGTCATTTTATATTAAAATGAACCTCTATGAATAATTCTTACTTTTATTTTCTTTCATTACAATGGATAATTGACGGGTTCAAATAGGGTACAACACCTATGAACCGGATTTTCTGGCAGTATATTCAGAAATCTCTGCTATTAAACATTGGTTTGGTTTGGTTTGGGGACTCAGGGATAGCTGAGAACTCAAACAAGTACCCTAATGAGTCATGTAGTATACATGCAATATTTTTTGCATGATACTAAATGAGCCTGTAGTAAAGAAAATGTTCTTTTTATACAGGTACAGATATGAAAGGTATTCTTTCTCCAATTCCACTCTTAGCACCTCTCCATGTCTCCTGGAATCAAACAGTCAATTAACAACCTCAGTTATGGAAAAATCACAATCCAAAATAAATAATGGTAAGATTATTTTGTTTTTACTTCAATGACTAGGCAAGCTTTTTTTTTAAGACTTTATATGTTCTTTATTATGGACAAAATATCTATATAATTTTTGCTGTCTAAAGCTTTACTACTTACATTCTAGCCAGTTTGGCTCAGTGGGTAGAGTTTCAGTCCACAGACTGAAGGGTCCTGAGTTAATTCTGGTCAAGGGCATGTACCTTGGTTGCAGGCTCCATCCCGTGTCCTGGTTGGGGTGCGTGCAGGAGGCAACCAAGCGATATTTCTCACTCTCTGTCTCTCCCCCTTCCTTCCACTCTCTCTAAAAATCAATGGAAATATATCCTCAGGAGAGAATTAACAACAACAACAAAAAGCTTTACTACTTAGACTGAGATGTTATAGTGCCATAAAAAATCCTAGAATATGAAGCAATATATGATGAGATCCTAAGAAAATGCATCTATATACACTGAGTGGCCAGATTATTCTGGCCACCTGATGTTTGTAGTCAAATTAGCTATAATTTCACACTGAAGTTGCTAGAGGACCAGACCATTATAAATAGGGAAGCAGGTTGTTTACCATGACAGTAGAAGTGATTTTTTTCTAAAGATATGGGTAAACAA